CTGCCGGGTTTGACGACTACATCCTCTGTTATTTATTAGCTGTGTGATTTAAAGCAACTGACTTGTACTCTTTGCCGCACTGTCTTCACTGTGAACACAACGAATGGTCGCTAGCACTGTCATTAGTAGAGTACAGGATTGCAGTGCGGAATAAATAATTAAAGCAAACACTAACAGTTCCCCTAGCAAAGGTGAGGCCCTTGTCCGAGCATTTTGTATATATTATATCATTAATTCCTTAGAAACCCCGCAAATCATGTAACATTACGCTGTTTACACATAAAGAAAGGATGGTACAGAGAAGTTCTGTGAATTGCTGAGTCAAGCAGCCAGCGTTTGCTAGACTCACTGTTTGAAATCAGTCAGGGTCCACTGCCTGTCTTACAACCACTTTCTTAATTTTCTTAATTTTTTTTCATGGGCAATCTTACTTTGTGCTCAGAGATGTAAAGTATTTAGAGCAGCATCTGGCACTGATTAAGTACCAGCAAGTCCTAGCTGCTGTTTCTACTGCTATTTCTACTACAATTTGATAGTCTTGAAAGAATGAAGATAGGAATCTGAAGTGCCTTATATACATGCAACACCTTATACACATATATACACACCATCTTCTCATCAGTACAACATACTTTTTTTATTTATTTTTTTTAGTACAACATACTTTTTTAGAGAAAAGCCTATCAGCAGCTTGTGAGTGTAACATTCTCTGTTTTTTTCTATTTTTTATTTACCTGCTTTATTGTCCTTGTGGCTTAGTAGATTATGAAGTCTGTAAGAGAATAAAGTATGTCTCTTTCTGTTACTGTTTTACACACACTGACAAGCAAAGAGCTGGGCACATCATAGGTACTCAGTAAATATTTATGTTAAACAAAGGTGAGCCCAATAGAAATACAAAGAATCATTTTTCCTCCTTACTCAGTTGCACAGCCTATCACAAAGGCACTGCAATGAGAACATTTTGCATTATTTTTCTACTAGAGGCCTGGTGCATGAATTCTTGCACTAGTGGGGTCCCTCGGCCAGGCCTGTGTGATCAGGCCAAAACTGGCTCTCTGACATCCCCCGAGGGGTCTCAGATTGCAAGAGGGTACAGGCCAGGATGAGAGACCCCACCGGTGCACAATCAGGGCCGGGCAGGGACACAGGAGGTAAGCCAGTCTGGGAGGGACTGCTGTAGGGCTCCAGGGCATGTCCGGCCTGAGTCACTCAGTCCCAATCAGCTAGACCCCTGAGGAAGTTAACCTACTAGTCAGATCATCTGCCCCCTGGTGGTCAGTGCACATCATATGCTAAGTGTCTGGTTGTCCAGTCATCTGGTCATTAGCATATTATGCTTTGATTGGTTGAACATCTGACTGGACAACTGGACACTTAGCATATTAGGCTTTTATTATATAGGATTAGGCTTTTATTATATAGGATAACCATTAGCAAGGTTACAGCCAGATCCTCAGCTAAATACTGTGTGCGTGAAGGAAATGAAAGCAGGGTTCTCAGGCCCATTTAGTGGTGCCATTGCCCTTCTCCCTGTATCCTCTGCTGGCTTTGTCTCATGAGTAGCGTAAGAAGCATAAAAGCATAAGTATATTTCCTGTAGTTACAGCCAAGATGCAGGTCAGCTCCTGAGAACTGAAATACCTGCGAATAGAGGATATCCTAGTTTTAGTGGAAAGATACTTGAATCTAAGTATGAAGTTCTTCTTCCTCCAAAGAAAATAAAGATATTTATACTAGTGCATTGTGCAGACTACGGTGCCACCTATTCATCCTGACTATGTTTATTCCTACTCCATGAGATAATACCACCAAATGATTGTCTCCCCACCCATTATGTGCCCAGCAAAAACAAGCTAGAAGGGAGTACTGTTATCTCTATTTTACTATCTGAAACTAGACTGGCTTTCCAAGTTTTGGAACACAGACAGGCAATATAAAGGAGCATGAAGAGAAAATAGAAAGAAGAGAGTGGAAAGCTATGATCTGTTGGTGGAATGATTTTCTTATGTAGAGAACTTTGGAGAAATGAATGCAAAGACGATATCAAACCTTCTTAAATGTCAATCTTTTTTTTGGAAAGAGGTCGTTTCTTGGTACTGATTTTCACTTAAAATGGCTTTGTTATAGAATTTATAGATAGTTTAGGATTGTGTCCTCTTTAGATGATTGAAAGAGTTGGTATCATTTTTACCATAGATATTTTTATCACATACATATTTTTAAGTTGGTACTGAGGGGATATTGTGTAAAAGGTTATGTGTTGGACCTAAGATAAATAGGCCTTGGTTTTAACCCCTCAAAATGTTCCTGTGCTTTATCTATAATGCAGAAATACGGTGTGATTTGTCAATGAAAATGGTATTCTTACATGCATTGCATTTCATTTACCAAAAATAGTTACTTGGTTTTGATTCAGTTCACCTTATCACATTTTACTATACTGATGTAACATAGATATTGATATCCACATGAATATAGGCAGGGGTCCTCAAACTATGGCCCACAGGCCACATTCAAATACAAATACTGTATTTGTTTCTGTTTTGTTTTGTTTTTACTTCAAAATAAGATATATGCAGTGTGCATAGGAATTTGTTCATAGTTTTTTTTTTAAACTATAGTCCGGCCCTCCAACGGTCTGAGGGACAGTGAACTGGCCCCCTGTTTAAAAAGTTTGAGGACCCCTGGTAGAGGATTGTTCATTGCCTCTGATAGCTGTGTGTTTATATTTCTAATCAGTAAAAAGATTGCTATTTTAATCATAGTCCTTAAATTATATTTAAAAATGGTCAGACTTCTTAAAAAATGCTACAGTTCACAGAAATTTAGGTTTAATAATGCAAATGAAAGCATATAGTGTCATTGATTTTAAAATATCTAAACTACAGCCATGCATGTTATACCATAAAATATTGAAAAATGTGAGTGAAAATTCTACCAAAATTTTGTATGTTTTGAACAGAAAGTTTCTTTATAGGCTTCTGCTGTTCTAACATTCAAATTAATGTTATTTAATTAAAAGCTCCTTTTTAAGATAGATAGGTAACATGTACTTATTTTGCCAACATAAAATGAAATACTTTTTGTGCTTTTATGAGCTTTTGCTTTGTGCATTATCCTTACTGGGTATAATTCTTTGCAAAAACGCCCAGTCTCAATCTATATTGTAAAAAGAATTTGAACATATTTCTTGAAACAAATGATGTAATTAATTTAAAATACTTCTGATATCTTCAAAGATAAATACCTGAAGAATAGAAGTATATATGGGAAAAGATCAGATTTTTTTTTAAATCCTCACCCGAGGATATTTTCCATTGATTTTTAGAGAGAGTGGAAGAGAGGGAACAACAGAGAGAAATATCGATGTGAAAGAAACACATTGATTGGTTACCTCCTCCACACACCTGACCAGGGCCGGGGGCGGGGAGGGTCCTGCAACCAAGGCACATGCCCTTGACCAGAATAGAACCCTGGGCCCTTTGGTCCACAGGCCAAACCAGCTAGAGCAAGATCAGATTTTTTAATTGCAAAAATAACACGATTTGCAAAAAAAAAAATAAGTTGTGATGAGAGCCAAGAAGGAAATGAAATTTGATTATAATGGTTTTTATACAACTACACCTCACTTTACAAAATACATATCATCTTCAAAATGTGGAAATTATTTTAAAAAATCAAGTCTTAGTTTAGATATATTAGCAAAGCACACTTTTAAGAGAAAGTCTGTGTGTGTGCTTGTGTTTGCTCAGTGCTTTGTATCTCGCCAAAGGGGCACAAAACAGCTTTAGAAAATGCCTATAGTCTTTCTATATCTATCCAAATCACAGATTCCAAATCCTAATCTAGAAAGAGTTTTTATATGGCTTGCATATGAAAGTATGTGTATATTTACATTGACATGGAAGTGACACACCATCTTGATTGTGAAGCTACTGTTGGGAGATATTTTCATTGTTACACAGAGTGAGACAGCAAATATTTGTTGAATGAATGAAGGGACAGTTTGTAAATAATCACCCTGCTTATGTTTTAGATCATAAAAATGATAATGTGGTCAGTTGTAAGTTAATTGTCTGAGACAGGTGGTGGCAAAAGCCTCATATACTAGTTTCTTAGGCAATGATTATGTCCTTCCATAAATTATTTTACTATTAAGTACTAGGCCAGCGATAGAAGGAAACATCAGCCAAGGTTATGTATACTAAAAGAATTTACAGGCAAACACCTTATGTTCTATAGACCTCCTTACTTAAATCATTCTGTGATTTACAAATAATTTCTACATGGGGTAAATGGTTAAATATTTTTTATGAAGATGTATTTATCCATTCAGTAAGCACTTAGTAAATGCTTTCCTTCAGCAGTATATTAAGTAGTGGGGCTATAGTTGTGTACACATAATCGCCATGGTCCCTGTGCCATGGATGGTTTCTCTTGTGACAGAAACAAATAAAAAAAAACAAGTAAACACATAAATGAGCAAAATAAATTCATAACATGATAAGTACTTTGAACAAAATAAGTGAAGACTGGGAATTTGGGAATTGAATGAATCTATAGTTACAGTTTTCAGGGAAAGAAATTTAGAGGAAACATTTAAGCTGAGATCTGTAAATTGCAAGTTCAGCTTAAAAAGAGACTTTCTCAGTTAGATAAGGTCTAGAATATCTCCAAAAGCAGGCCCCTGGGAGGGGAGAAGGAGAGAGACTAAAATGCCTATGATGCATACAGTAACCAGAAAAGTTGGGAATGCTTGCACTCAATAGTTAATGCCCAGTTACCAATGTAGAAACATTCCTATTCTGTACAGTAGTTAAGAAGCACCCTTATTTTTATATTGTTCAACCAATGTTTGGGATGTTAAAATAGCTGCCCAATATAAAACAACAACATAGAATTTTGATAATGCCCAAACAGGGTATAATTTTATATATTAAGTTATGACTATATATCTATTTTTTATTTGATTTCTTTATTTTATACATGTTTCCCAGGATAGTCCACTGGTCTTACAGTCTGACAGGAATGTAACAGTGAATGCAAGAAATCACATGGGGCAGTTAACTGGACAGCTGACAGTAGGTGAGTCTCTGGGGGTAAAATTGCTTCTACCATCTTACTCCATTTAAAACTCTTGTGGTTGTTGAAATTGGGAAAAGCAAAAGTATATTATTTCTCTAGTATATAACTAGACATCCCAATACAGCCCAATAATCTCGCACATGATTTGTTTGTCATGAGGCCAGCTATGGTTTCCTCTGTTCGGTAGTTATTCCTCTTGTCAATGTGTTATTATGGGGCTGAATTATATATTTTTTGCTGTTATTACTCTTGAATTATAAACTGCACAATTTTCTTACCAACTATCTGCCTAGTATGTGTTCAATTATAGTAAATAGGCTTGAACAAACATGGAGGATATAACATTATGTGGTCTATGTATCCTTTATTTTAGGCAAATAATTTACCAATACGTATTATTATCAGCTTATATAAATTAAAAGTGACATAATAGTTGAATATAATAAGTCTAACATTTATGAATTACTTATAAATTTGATATTGAATCATCTAAACTTTAAGGCTAATAGACTTTAGAAGTAATAAATACCTATTTTATCATCTTGTCAAAATTTTAATTTAGAGGTTCATAATACATGGCATTATTATTTGAGTCAATTTGTGTAAGAAGAAAGGCAAATTAAAAGTTAGTCATAGTTATGTAAGATAATACAAAGATTGAATTTATGTGTAATTGTTAAAATATTTTTTTTTTTAGAATATAACAATTTTCTGTGGGAAAATTGCCTACCACTTATTGATTTTTTTCTGTGTGTTATGTGTGTATCTATGAAAGTATATTACAATTGACAATTTTGAGGACTGAGTTATTCTTAACGATGATAAGTACAGCATCATTTTAATGCACATGTATGTTTCTAACTAAACTACACCAAATTATATCATTTAAAACGTGAGATTTATAGACATGAGTTTTATTCCTTCTAGTTCCTTTATAGGTATTAAAATACTTCTTAGTACGCTATTCATTTTATGAAACCAAAAGTGGAACTTATATCTTAACATATATTTCCAAAATATATAATTGCATTTTATTTATAATAATTAAATTTTATTTTACATATCTTTAAAGTGTAAGAGTTGGACAGTAGGTATCTATTAATTACTATAAGTGGTTAGTATTTTGAGATCCATAGAAAGATATCAATTAGGAAGTGGGGTCATATGTAAATGTAACCAAATTAGAGAAAAGAAACATGTCTATGGATACAGAACTAGTCCAGAAGCACCAGGCACAAGTGTAAGTGACCTGCCAACTCATTATTGTTACAATGTTGGAACTGCAGAAACAGGCGTAAGCTGGCAGATTTTTCAGATCATAATTTTCTTAATGTTGAGAACACTTTAGATAGATAAAACTTTTTTTTATATATCCTGGTCTTGATTTACAAAAGAAAAGGCCCTTAGTGGAAATGCCTAAATGTATGTTAAACACAAAAAGACATATACAAGTGTGCACTGTAATACAACAGCTACATACTAGTAACTATTGTTAGTAGAGCTGAACAGCTGTTTGATTATATGGAGTAATCAAGTGCCTTTTGCATTTTGCTGCATGCTTTCCTGCTGGAAATATAAAGAAAGATAGTATCATGATTGTATTTTCAACCATTGTCTCCAACTGATTTTAATGTGGTATCAGTACTTGTCAATTGAGGGGAAAAGAGAAGAATGAAAGGACAGAGAGAACGGGTGGGGGGAGGGAGAAAGGTTATGCTTCGTTTTAAATGAAGCAAATCAATAAGTTAATGATATCGCAGCTTGTATCTGCGGATGGACATATACTCAACCCATTGAGGCTTAAACTACAAACTGTTTAATATCCTGGTCATGGGGGTCTACTGTTGGTGACCTCGGTCTTTTCGTTGCTGTGTATTTTCAGTGGACCTAAAGAGACAAATGAATATTAGAAAAGGGGGGGCTTGGAGGGGATGACGTGTTCACATTTTAAGTCAAACCATTGGGACTCCCCCAAATCATTGATGTCTTGGGGACTCAGTTATTTCATCTCTACAACAGAGATAAGGGCACCTATTTAGAAGAATATTATAAGAATCAAGCAATTTCAGCACCTCAAATGGTAGACAATTATATTTTGAATCTGGTATTTTGATGATGGTGATTGTAATAATTATATGATCACTTAAGTTATAAATACATTGCTATTCCTTGAGAAATTTTATGGTTACTTTCTATCCAATGTATCTCTGTGGTAGTAGTTGAGGAATATGTACTGGATTACAATACTGTTGCAAAGATATACTACAAATTACATCACAGGAAGTGGACCTGATGTGTGGAAACATTTTAAATCATATCAGGATACATTTGTCTCTAGGGAGAATCTGAAGATATAGTAGGATGAATTTAAGCAAGGTATTCCATCAGTATTCATTTTTAAAGACTTTAATTTTAGTTGTATCAACATAAAGTAGCTATTTAACCTTCTTTTCCTGCTACTTTTTAAATTTCTTTCAATTTTTTTTAACATAGCCGAGATTTTTAGTATAAACATGATACTATTTTGCAATATTTTAAAATATACTTCCGAAAATGGACTCATTTATAAAAAATAAATTTATTTATTCTTCATTTTCTAAATAGGACAATTCTAATTTCTTCCCTAAATCTATCAATTTCCATTAGAAAAGTGTGACAGACTGAATTCTTTTTCTACATTTTATTCCCATTATTTAAGGGAAAATAAAAAATGTCTCTTATCAGTAGCTACCTGTGTCATATTTTCCCAAAATTCTATATATGATTGGTCAGCAAAGCAAATATCCATTCGTCTAGTATCCTGCCCTTCTAATGTTTTCATACAAGCCTAGCTTCCTGCTAATTATATCTGCAAGGGCTGTGTAATGGGAGGAAGGCCTGACAGACCTGCTGTGTTCATTCTAACCAGACTCGTTCTGAGACTCTGAAACCAGAACATTTCCAATTTAATACACGCAAAGAAAACATTTTATACACATGACAGCTTGGGCATATTCAAATTAAATAAATCGACATTTTTAGATTTGGGGTTTAAAAAAATCAATTGAAAAAATATTTTGTGTGCTTATAAAAGTATCCGTTTTGTGTTAAATTTATGTTAATAATAGAATACCACCCCTCCCCCCATGACGTGTAAGATTCCAGTTTTTCATAGGAGGGGATGAGTGAATTCAAGATTTCTTTTCAGAATTTATTTTTCTTAGAATAAAGCTGAGAGGACTAAGGTTGTTTTTAAGAAGTGATTAAAGAACATACAAGATCCTAAGAGGTCAGATTCCTTCAAGAAAAACAAGAACTTTTAAACATGTGCCAGAGACATTACCCAGGTCAAAATTTCTTCAATTATAAATGTCTATATTAGCAAGGCGGTTCTTTTTTATATGTGACATAAAGGGTGTGTGATTTTAGATGTTATATGTTCACATAACATACGTTGATAGCATAATAGTTTCTATTTTTCAGGACATTCTCATCAAATAACATGGATAAAATGTGAAGTATGCATTTTTGTGAAACATATCACATTTTCTTAGGAAACTGCTATAATGTGATAAACAGAATAAAAAATCATTTTTAGGGCAGTGCATGTGTAATATTATGTAGTTTTGATACAGACTTTGTTCATAAAACTGGTCATTAATTCTGTAGTAATTGGATTTGCTAAAAATATAATTACCTTTTCAATAATATCATGGAGATAATTATATTTTATTTCCCAATAACATTACATTGATCTATAATAGAAAAGACAAACTATTTTAAGTACTTTAAAAGTATAAATGTTAATTTTACCAAATTAATTGCTCTTCAATATTTCTTAGCCAACTTGAATAAGGTATTAGATTATATGTTGCTTATTCTTACATTGCATTATAAAGTATTATTTAATTTTGATAAAGCAATAGCTAAAAAGTAATAAGATTTTTTTCTTTTTTTTACTTTCGTATGTCTTGTTATCAGCCAATAGCAGGAAAATAAAAGAATAAACTGAAAATTGAACATGAAATAATATTAATGAGAAAAGATAGTTTTGGTTTTGTTTTTGTTTAGTAGCATCCTTACTTTAAACTTCAGTCACAAACAATGTTGATTTAAAAACCCAGAATGATTGCTGTGCGGTCCTATGTTGTAAAAATAATAAACTCCATGCTGCCACATCTATATCATTATCCCAGTAAAACATTAAGACTAATTGGGTATTAAATAATTAGAATGTCATTGTTCTGAAATTTTTCTTTCAAACTGTGCTTAAGTCACAATCTTATGCTTCAAATGGGAACTTGTATTTCATCATAATTCCTCTTATTTAGTGCTCAATAAATTTGGGAAAATTAATTAACTCCTAGACCTGCTAGCTGTTATTGTCAGAATCATTTACTCATCATTGATATTGTCATTTTCATTTTTCAGGAATCAGGGCATATCAAATTATATAAAAACCTCAATTACAATCTACAATTCCTCATTTTTCTTTCTTTAAATTTTTTAATCATCACCAGAGTGTATGTTTTTATTGCTTTTAGAGAAAGAAGGGAAGCAAGAGAGGGAAATGGGGGGGGGAGAGACAGAGGGGGAGAGTATCATCAACGTGAGAGAATAACATGGCTTGGTTGCCTTCCATATGCACCCAACAGGCCACCTTTGGAGACAATGCCCCAACCTACTGAGCAACACTGGCCAGGGGTTTTTGTTTGTTTTTTTTCAATTTTGTTTGTTTTTTGTCTGTCTTTATCCACTATTTTGTCAATGCTTTAAACTTCTTCAAGTGATTCCTAAATACATCTAACAATATAGCAGGAAGTAAAAATGCCTTGGGCAAGAAATTAAACACATTGACATTTACAATCAGCACCAGTTTTCTTTAAATATGTCACATTGTCAGGCTTAATCACCACACAATACCAGGGACAAGTGCAGAGGGCTCTGCAGGAAAAGGGTCTCAGGTTTCTTCGGAGTCTGAGGAGCTTGCTTGTCTTCATTGCCCCGGGGATTCTGAGGGA